GCGGGGGGCGGGCGGTGGCTCATAACCAGTGCCTGGCACCTTGCTCTCTCCCCTTCAGCATAGTCGTTCGCCCTGGGGGTAACGGGACCGGGTCAGAGGGAAAGGCTGCCCTAGGCCCGGTGGCAACCACTCGTTCCTTCCCACAAAACCCAGACCTCCCAGTGTTTTGCACATCCCCAGTTACGTGCTTACCCCTTAAAACGGGCATCAAGCACAAAGTTAATACGCTGTTCTCGCTGGGTGTGCTGTGCTCTGGATGAGTGACTGTCAGCAGACTTCTGAGCAGGTGCTGTGGAGGCACAGCTGGGCAAGCATGGGGCACTCACCCACTTCGTGGTGTCCACCCAGTTGTTGGTAGGGAGCTTTCAATCGAAGACCCATTGCAGCTGCTCTGTTGACTCCCTGTCGAAATAAGAGCCTGGATTGGAAATAAAGTGCCAGTTCAGAAGATAGTTTGAAACATCATAGTGAGTCTTCCCCTCTTCCTCACAGTGGACACTCAGCCCTTGAAGGGCTTCTCTGAAGTCCTAATGAGTTGTCTCCATGATCACTGTACTTCAGTGGCACCTGCCCTGGGCAAATGCAGAGAATCTCCACTGTAGATCATGGTCAACTCATATACCAGTTAACACATGGAATTTTGGCTCCCAACTTCTCCCCCAAGTAATTTTAGAAATTATGTAGCCACCATTCCTATTTGGAAGGAGGCTTCTTTTTGGAAACGGAGTATCTGAAGTGGGCGATTCTCACATCTGAAAAACTTATCTCTCTTCTTGCATACTGCTTCTTTATCAGCCACTTAGAAGAATCAAAACCATGAGATCTTTCAGGAGCCTTTTTTTCTGTAAATTAGTGAATTATCCAGAACAGTTCTTGTAGAATAGGAAGAAGTTTTTTGAATATTTGATCCTTGCAAAACAGATTGATTTAATAGTTTTATATAGGTATTTCAGTTAAACAGAAGAATAACATCATGGAGTAATTCTTCCCAAGGCAGCTAACAGAACATACAGTTAATTGTTACAGGTAGTTTTGGGAAAACAGCAATAAGTGTTACAGTAAAAATGTGCAAGAAAGTTACATTTCTTCAATAAGTCAATGCAAATAGGTGTTTTTTTGGGATGATAGTTGTCTTGCCAAGATACAGTGCCCCAAAATACTGGAACACTTTTACCTTCCTCAGATAGGAGGCAGCATGTGTGCCAAGGACTAATATTAATAATTCAATTAAATAATATTTTGATGACTTCAACTGTCTCTTTGGATTATTCTTGCCGGTAGAGATTTCAGCTTTCATCCCAAGTGGGAGAGGTACCAGGAAGCTGCTTGAAGGGCTACATATTTTGGGGATTCTTTGTTATGCTGAGGCAGAAGTGTAGCTGAATAACTTATAATTCTGGAGAAATGTATGCTGTAGACAATACAGGAGGTTAGTGGCAAGCTGCAAATTTTTCTAGCCTAATTTATACTCCTTATTTTTTTTCCATTTTATTTATTTTTTCCAGTGACTCAGCTTTTTTATCCTTATGAAAAAGATGAGCACTTAAAATCTGTTGCAGTGATTAGAAACCGTATCAGTCAGTAGTACTTTCCAATGATGTTTTTATGCAACTGTCTGCACAGGTAGGCTTCATGAGCAGATACGACTAAAAAACCAGATAAGAATAAGATTTTTTTTTTAATGTGTCTTTGATTGACATAAACCTATTTACAGTTTTATGTGGTTTTCCCATCTTTTATCTCCTTTTTTACGTTAAGTGACAATAGACTGACAGAAAACTAAATTGCTCTTAGTCAGATGTCCTGGTTTCAGCTGAGACAGAGTTAACTCTCTTCATCATAAGAGGCTGTGTTTTGGATTTGTGCCTAGAAAAAGGCTGACAACAGCAATATTTACAGTTGTTGCCAGGACAGTCAAGGACTCTTCAGCTTCTCTGCTGTGCCAGACAGGAGATGCTGGGAGGGAGCACCACTCCAATTACTAGCCTAGGATTCGACCTTCGGTTTAGGGTTGAGACCCAAATTGACCAGTAATTCTATTCCACGTCATGCACGTCATGCCCAGTATATAAATGAGGGCTCTCTGGAAGCTCACCCGTTGCTGCACATCCTGGTTTTGCTCCAGGTCAGCTCTCTTGCTCCGGGTGATCTCGCTCTGGGTGGTCCCCCTCCCAGGGTCATCTCCCTCCCTTGGTCAGGTCTCGGTCTGAGGCACTCCGTTTCTTATCTCTGCGTTGGCAGTCTGGTTTTGGGATTCTCCCTGTTCCAGGATCTTTAGCTGGGAGTGGGCTGAGCCTTGGTCATCAAGTGGTGAGCAGTTTCACTGTGTATCACTTATCTGCATATATTACTATTATTATCATCATTACTATTATTTTCAATATTATTGTAGTTTAGTTATTAAATTGTTCTTATCTCAACCCATGAGTCTTTTTTCCCTTCTTTAATTCTCTCCACCATCCCTGGGAGGGGGGAGGGTATGAGAGAGGCTGTGTAGACTTGGCTCCCAGCCAAGGGTAAACCCATCAGATCAGGGTGAGACAGACAGTGAACAAATGCAGGCTTTCTCAACGTTATATGGATTTTCAAACTTAATTTTTTTCAAAGGCACAATGGTCATTGTCATTTTTTTTTTAGAGCAGCTGAGAATAAAGTAAAGCTGAGCAGTGAAAAAATTACCACTCCTACAGATTTGTGTGAATGCAATGCTTAAATGAGTCATTTTTACCAAGGAGGGAGAAGATTGTGTTGCTTCTGCTCCATCACTTAAAAAAGCATTGCTGTCTGAGTATCCAGTGTGTGTGAAGCAGACATTGCTTGAACTTTATAGCTGTGTAACTGACCCCAAAATAAGTGCAGGAAGTGGTTTATACAATAATATTATGAATGCCAAAAACCATTCAGGTTATTAAATTGTTGCATATGTTTCCTGTTTAACTCCATCCTTCATAGTCACTTTAGCCTTGCTCAGTGCCACCATTCTCAGAAGATACTTTTTTAAAAGCAGCAGTGCCCTGTATATTGATAAATGAAGCTCCAGACAATGCAGCAAAGTGCTAGGTAAAAATCACAGTTTAGATGTTTGAATTACTCCATAAATAAATGGGATTCCTTCTTGCTTTTCCTTAGCAGTACAATTCTCAGGCATGGAAGACTGCAACTCTAAAACTCTTTGGAATCTGTTTATTCTTCATAGATTTTTTTTTGTAAGGCATGCTTGGAACTGGATTCTGTTTGTTGGAAATGCACCTGTGGTTTGTGATAGGCTTGCATTGTGGGTACTGTGGAATCAAAACTTTGTATCACAACAGTGAAGACAAAAGTAGCACAGTGATTCTGGACAGCACACTAAAGAAGCGAATTTTTTTACCTGCAGTACAGTAAAAATTAGAAACGTTTTGGATGACTTGCTCATACTTGTTCTCATTTCGTTGTGATTGAGAGTGCTGTGCTAGGTCATGATCCAGTATCTAATTGTACCTACCAACTTCACTGCTTGAGTTAGGCTACACACAATTCTGTATTGCTAACACGTGACACACTGTACTGGAAAATTTATACAACCAGGTGACTGTCACGCAAGGAGTCAGAGTTAGTTATGCACTTCAGTAGCAAGAGAGAAGCAGCAGTATATTTTATTGATATAAAACAGTGAGTTAAAGTTCAAAGGTCAGTGCAACAATGATTAAACAACATCCGATGGCAAAGTACACTTGATTATTTACTGCATATAGGACAGGGTCAGACAAAACTGTCAGGGAGACCCTCCCGTTGAGTCACGAGGTTCAGAAAGGACCCCTTTTTTTCTCTAAACTCCTCCTCAGAGAGGAATCTAGGTGCGTCTGGATCCAGTCCTAGTCCCAGACTTGGTCAATGGTTTATGTCTAAAGGATTATATATGTGCAATCAGTCCTTTATATCACTTAGCTAAGTTTTCATAGTTTCGCATGCTGTTAATCACTTACCAAGAATCTGTTGTGGCAAGGAATCTCTCAACCTCGAGGAGTAACATTGAGGGGCGTCTCTACTCGAGGGGCATCCCTACTCAATTGGCAGTCCTGGCATGCAGCCCGCTGCTGTGCAGGAGAGCTCAAAGGGCCCTGGGCTGTCCACTATTTAAGGAGTAAGATGATTGCCTTACAGCCATGTTTGCATACTAGCTGTATTTTGGTTGGCACATGCTCAGCTAGCCCTCAGCTGTTGAGCAAAATGTACAAGGTAGCTCCTGGCTATTGTGTTGTTATCTGTATCCCCCAAATTTGCTCTGAGCTGGATGCAGCCATCACAACCAGACGCATCCATTATGGCCACCACTGGTGGTTATCACTTGAACAGGGTTGTGGGAGATAAAGGTCAGGTGTGGGGCGGAGAGAGCACACCGTCACAGTGACTGAATGCTATCTGCTGTAGAAACAATAGACTCCTTTCAACTTCGTCATTACTGTTGATAGGTGAACACTGAGCTTACGGTATCAATATAATACTTTGGCTTTTTACCTTTGTACCTAGTAGAAAGAGAGGTAGCCAAGCATAAAACACATATATTCTGCTGACCAAGATCAGCATCGGAGTACAAGGAAAGAGACAATGTCTTCCGAAACAACCCAACAGGAAAGTCAGACGTCTCCACCGAAGCAAACTGGATGGGTAAGCTGGGTTTTCTCCCTTTTATTTTGATGCTATTGCTAGTGAATAACTGGGATTTTACATTGGTTGCTCTTACTGAAGAGAGAAACAGATGTCTGTTAGCTTGGACATATAAAGGAAGAGAAGAAAGGGCTATGTATTATTTTTCCTGATTCACTACCCTCAGAGGGATAGGAGCTTTTGAGTCTTAAGATAGTGGGCTCTGATTTATGCTATGCTTATGAAACTAATTACAAAGTGGCAGAGCCCCAGTGTCTGAGTACCAGTCCAGTATAACCTGTCCTCATCAATTCAGAGGAGAGAAGGGAACAGTACTGCACAAGAACCTGACCTCCAGCTGTATGGCAGCTGAGCATTCTCCTCTGCCGGAGAAATCCGCTATCCATGGGGGTTCACATTTTACCGTTTTATGCTATAAGCATGTAATTAACCAAATGTAATTTATATGTGTATGACCTTGTTGCTAACCAGTCACTGCCAGAGAGCAGCAAAAGTGGGCTGATCTGCAAGGAAAGGTGACCCACAAGCCACAAGTGACAGCAAGGTGAGCAGGGGTTGTGACCTCAGGGATAAGGAGCACAGTCCCACAGTACCCCAAAAAGAGAACCAGAGCAGGTCCTGTGACATTAACCAGGGTAAGCCAACAGTCAGTCCAGTGATTGCCAGGCAAGTCCATAGGCCTTAGGCAAGTCTGGTGGTAAGCCAGGACATCAAGTCGGCGTGGCAAGGTAGGGATCATCATGGTAGAAGGCCAGGTACAGGCATACATACAACACAGTTAAGGTGAGGGCCTGAGCTTAAATGCAGTTCCTGAGCTGAGGGGCAGAGGCCCTGGGCAAAGCATCTTGCAGCTCTTTCTCCCAGCTGTTTTCACAGCGGTCTAATTCAGTGTTACACAACTGTGCCACCTTAGAGCTGGCTTAGAGCCTACACAAATAAACCCTTGGCGGGGTGTGTATGGGCGCAGAAAGGTTGCAAAGCTTGTTGGTGCACTAAGGGCCCTGACACTCATTTCATTATCTTTCACTCAGGCTGTTTGGATTTTATTGTCTTTGCTGTGACCTTGCTGTGAAACCAGTTTGGAGGGGTTCTCTAGGGTCTGGAGTGGAGTCAAGTTCTCTACTGTTTACCCAAGCAGCAACACCATAAACTTTAGTGGGAGCAGTGCTTGAAGAAGGACCAGGATATTAATTATCTAAAATGTGAAATGTGTAACTGCAGCAAATAAATGCATTTCATTATTATGGTTACAAAATCATGGATCAGTCGGGCATAAAATGAGGTAGAATCCTGTAACAGACTAATGTACTCTCTTTCCCAAGGCACTGCTTGTTCTGTGAAGTCTGGTTTTGCTCTCAGGAATAGGCATGTTTGTAGAGGTTGTGGTTTTGTAGAAAAATGGTAAAATTTCAGCTAACGTTAACTGTATGACTCCTCCTTTACCCCAGCTTTTATTGCTGAGCACAACGTCATATGGTATGGGATGCCCTTTGGGTCAGCTGGGGTCAGCTGTCCCAGCTCTGTCTCCTCCCAATTTCTCATGCACCCCCAGCCTACTCGCTGGCGCGGCAGCCTGAGAAATAGGAAAGGCTTGATGCTGTGCAAGTGCTGCTCGGCAAGAACCAAAACATCTCTGGGTTATCAACACTGGTTTGGTCACAAATCTGAAATGCATCACCGTACCAGCTACTATGAAGAAAATAACCTGTTTCCCAGCCAAGACTAGTACACCTGTTTGTTTCAGATGTCCAACAGTGATATTACAAGTGCTAACACTGGTAACTGAGTAATATTTTAAAGAAATAAGTGTACTTGTATTGACATGTCAATACCCTGGATAGTAGAATGCAAGAGAGAACACTCTCACTTTTTTCTCACAATCAAAATGGAAAAAAAAAAGAGCTACCATTAGCTTAAAAGAAACCTGTCAGCAAGCTAAGGTGAAGCCAGTATGGTTGAATTCGGTTAATGCCACAAACATATTTAAACTGCTCAGAGAGACAGTTAGGCTAGTTAGGGGAATCTGACTTGAATTTGTGTTGATCCTCTTCTGAATACTTGCAAAATCTACTCTTACTGAACTTAAATTGACTGCTGTATGGGGCAGAACTTCATTTTTAGAAACTACCACTCTGCCTTTATTTCCTCTCATTTATTTCCCAGAAAGATGATGTAGCCCATGAGAATACAATGGCTAATAGAAATCAAGCTATATACTTCCGGGGTAAGCAGCAGCTGAGTTATTTTAGGAAAGTACAGACCAACAGGATGAGTGGTTTTAACTTAAAACGTATGTAGTTCTTTCTGTTTCTGTATTAGGTTATCAAGTATCTCAACACACTGATAACAGGAGTTTTGCTTGTTTGGTTGGTTTTTGCATTGTATTTTATTTGGTTTTTAAAGAATTTATTTTCTTTAATTGATTTTTTTTTCTTTCTTTGAGATTAAATCGATAAACTAACACAGGTTTGTCCTTTCAGCCAATGTTCTATTGTCCCATCTCACGAACTCAAGCTCACAATGCTGGAGAAATTGCAAGGATCCGTGAAGAATGCAAAAAGGAAAGTTTCTGGTACAGAGGTGAGTGATCTGAACTTGTTCTTATCACACTGAGAATAACTTCTTGATGTACATATGCAAAACCGGCTGGAAAATGCCATGCCATTTACTGTAATACATTGGGTTTTGTTGGAATATTATTGTGGGTTAACTCTATCACCTTATTTTAAGTTGAGCAATATGTTATTACAAGTTTAATGGAATTATTTGCATAATCATTGCAGGTAAAGGTGGTTGAATTAAGCTCCTGTTTAATATGAACTTACTTTAACAATCATAGAGCTGGTTCTGTTCTTGAAGTCCATTATTGAAACAACCTTAGGAATGTTTTACTTTATTACATACTTATTCTTGCCTTTGAATGAAAGGCAGGTATGGCTATGTGTCTTGGGTTTGTGAAATTCTTTAGATGTTAGGACACTCAGCGTATTAGTGCCTTTTAAGTCCACTGTGCCAGTCTGAATCTAAATGACACATTTTCTGAAAGGAGAAGATTGAAAAGGGTTTCAGCATTTAATCAGAGTTGCTTTCATTACTAGTGTTACCATACTGAGAGGAGATTACAGAAGCTATTATTTAATAAATATGTATAATGCATTAGCTCCAGATGCTACAGCATGCTTGATTCTTGTTTGGCACTGTGTGAACACATCCTTGCTTTGAAGAGATAGTAATCTGGATGAGCAGATGTGATAGGTGATTAAGACTGTGACAAAGTTAATGTATAGAAGATGAGTAATGTGTTTAACGTTATAAACATATAAAAGAGTAATGTATTTAACAAATAGGTAACAAATTTTGGCTGACATCAGATACCTCCTCCTTTTTATTTTTACAGCTCTTCCTCTGTCTCTTGGAAGCATGCTTGTCACCCAGGGGCTAGTCTCAAAAGGTAAATATGAAAAATACATTATGATCATAAGTTATGAAGTTGAGACTCTGGAATTACCACTGAAATGCAAGTTTCACTAAAGCCTGCTGATATTCAAGATCAATATTCCTCTCACTTATACCGTAATTGTTGTAGTGCTGTGATCATTATGTATGCATTGCCACAGTAATTCTTTTGAAAGAACGTGAACTGAAAAAAGAATTAATAAATTCAAAGCCTGGTGGCTAGATTCGGTCACCATGGTCACGTGTATTTAAGTAGAGTCTTCACTGGGACTGTTTGTAGGGCAGAGCATTATAGAACCTGAGCGGGGGCATCAGAATTGTGAACTGTATAGCTCTAGCTGTTGTTTTATTTTAAAAATGCTGACAATGTTTTTACAGTGTCCACATATCAATATGAATACATCTCTGGTGCAAAGGGACAAGGAATACTGCTGAAGTGAGGAGACAGAGAGCTTTTTATGGTGATGGCTTGTGATCTGCAGGCTAACACAAGAGAGAACTCTATTCCATTTATGTGGTGGATGAGCCTGGTTCTACACATTGCACCTTGAGTTTTCTTCCTGGGGGTCTTGGCTAATAATAAGGTCGAGGTTAGCATTTTGGGTAAAGAGTGAAGGGCATCTACCCTGAAGACTGCTAAGATGGGTGTATCCCACAGGAGCAAATAAGAGTCCTTCAGCCTGCATTAGCAGCTGGTTACGGCAAGGGCAGGTCGGAGAAGAGAAAAATCACAGGGCTTAAAGCAAGAAGCAGAAAAGAATCCAGGGCTATAAGAGATGGGTGGTGGGAGACAGCAAATAGAGGAGGTGGAAATGGCTCAGCCTTTTCTCACTGTGTGTTGTTGCAAGCCCCTTCTTATGTTCCAGACGCTATTACCATGCTTCCTCCTCATCACGTTCTTTTTTTTTACTAAGAAGATGATCAGGAGGGCTAGAGTAGGAAACCTAAAAGCTGTGCTATACCACAAGAGGCTGATGTGGGTTCCCTATTGTATCCTCGACCTATGAGCTTGTAGGCAGACACAGAGGGAAGGAGAAAGGGGGAGGGAAGGCAAAGGATTACACATTTGAAAAAGGGTGAGCAGTGACAGGAAGGGCCCTGGTGTTGTCTCTGTAGCTAACATGCCAGCCTCTGGTTCCAGCTACTCTTCTCAGTTTCTCTCCATTGTACTTGCATGTATCTGATCAGCTGTGAAATAACAAGTGCCCATATTAAATAATCATTACTGTGTGTCAACACTTTGAAGGGGGGAGGCTGTTTAGAAACAATTTTGTTCCTCCCTCCCCTGAGAGACCCAATTTAAAATTGCATAGATGCCAGTGGGCAAAGGCACTTGCACTTAGCATAGACTGAATGCTCCTCTGTCTAAATGCTCCTCTCTGATGACTGTGTGCAGTACACCGGCTGTAGAAGAAGCTGGAGCTTCTGAGCCTCATTAATACTGCCTAAATGCATGTGCAACGAGCATTGACTTCCCTTTGCCACAGTAATCTCACTGTGTGGAGCCCTTCTCCACAGCATGGCGCTCCTCTGCCAGACACACATGCTTTCACAGGCGTACTGGTTCCATCTCCTGGTGTTAACTCAGGAAAAGTGGATTTTGCTGGGAAAAGTGAAAGATGATCTTGTAGTTTTCTTGTTCAGCACGCTGTATTCTCCTCGTAAAGGCCAAAATGTATGATCTCTCCTCTCCAGAGGGGGAGGCTAGATACCAGTGGTACAGTTTAACACTGTAGCCACAGAACACTACTGAAGAACAGTTTGGTTCTGCTTCTCGCAGCGCAAGGAGCTGGACCCTGAGGAAGAGATTTCTGTTCACCATTATATTTGCAGGGTTGTTTGTGCTGAAACATAAGCCATGATCTCGTCCTCCTGCAGTGCTGCAGTTGTCACCTGTGGCAGCCATGCTGCTTTCATGTTGATTTACACTCCAAACCCCTCCCTGAACTGAATCCTGCCACGTCCAGATTTTTTTCCTCCTCTAAGACTCCTCCAAAACAGATGCACTAAGAACTAGTGGAATGGAAAGTACTCTAATGTTCCTAAATCTGAGTTAGTGGACTTTCAAGTTTTTCGTACAGTGTTCACCTTCAGAAGTGCAAAAGCTTGTAGTAGAAAATACTGTCTTGTATTGTACTGTCAAGTGCTGTTGAGTTCAACTGAATAAGCTTGCTGACGATATCTTTTTATTGTAGGCATTTTCTCATCAAGCCCAAGATTTGGTGCATTACCTAAGATTGCACGTAAGTTGTACCCGATTCTAAAAGGAAAGGAAATGATATGCACACCTTAGATGCCTCTCTCTGAATTTCTTTTAAAACTCTTCCTTTGTTTTGAATTTATGAGATGATACCACGTGACTATAGGAAATCAGAATTCTGCTGTGTTTAAAATTAAATGTATGAAACAAGGTTCTTTCAATTTAAACATTTTCAGTAGCAGCTTATATTTACTTGGTATAGCCTCTCAAATTGGTAAAAACTCCAGTCTCACCTTTGTGTTGTAAATAATGTCAGCCTCATCGATCAGCCATGCTTAGCAGATCACACAGCTTATGGTATTAAGGAGTCATCATAGTATAATATATAAAATAGTATGATCCTTTTCATATGTTAATTTGATCTTAACTAATTTATGACTATGAATTGATAAAGAAAACCAATAAGAGCACTGAAACTGTATAGTACAGTAAGGTGGCTCTTAAATGGCAAGAAGTGAAGTTGACTCCCTCTTCAGCAGTTCAACAGAAAATTGAGGCTGTTGAAGTAGTATTTTTATTCTGACTCTGTAGTGGGTGAAAGCCCCAGTGCGATGGTATGGCAGGCTGACATTCTAGCTTCTTAGAAGCCCAGAGAAGATAGTGTTAAAATTTCAGTCATTAGAACTATACCATACTGTGCATACAAGGGCAAGAGACATTAGTGCTGACATTGTGAATTAATTTCTTTGTGGGCTGTCTCTATCATCTGTTTCTCTTAATCCGAAATCTTGTAATTCCAGCTGAATATGATATCCTTTTCCTGTGTGCATTGTTTTGGAGCAGTTGCTATGTCTCATGATAGGTAGCCAGTTTTCACTAGCTATTGAAATCATCCCCATAATCCCTGTATAACTTAGCATGGGTTTGTGACGTGTTTTGAGAAGACATGCTACATACAATTCATCATATCATTAAAATGGAGCCAATTGCAGACTCTTAATTTAAGGTCTTGTATTAATAGTGTTTTGTTATCTGTCTTTATAGTTGCTGGTGTCTTAGGTTTTGCCATTGGAAAGATGTCATACATAGGAGAATGCCAAAAGAAGTTCCAGAAAATTGGTTTTGTGCCATTTGGTCCACAACAAAAATGGTTTGTGCTTATTTAAACTATTAATCCTAGAACAAAATAGTGTAAAACATAGTAAAAATTATATGCAGCAAAACTATTATGTTAAATTCTGTGATCAGGTCATGAGGTACTACTCATTCTTAAGCTGTATATGACATCATTAGAAACTACTAAATATTCTTCAGAAAACGCAAATTAAACTCAGTGTAATATCTGTATTAGGAAATACATTATTTAAATATACTCCTAAGTGTGGTGGGACAACCGTTACTAGTTCTCTTTTCATCTACTATTGTGCCTCTAAGTGTCTCAGAATCATCTGTGATATCACTTAGGCCCTTTGAGTCTCCCTTTGTACCATACACCAGGCTAAATATGCTGCTGATTTTTTTTTACACTGTCCTCATATTTTAACAATTTCAGTCTCAACCCACATTCCAACCTCCCCCTCTGTGGCATTGCCCAACCTCATACTGTCATGCCAAACCACAAAGAGCGCAAACTGCAAGGTTTTTTTCCACCTTGCAACTCTAACCATATGATAGCTCTCAATGGTTGCCTTCTGTCACCTGGCACCTCCATGTTTTAGTCATTGTTTTCTAAAGTTCACATAAAGCACTCTTTCAAGTTCACATAAAGCATTCTTTCCCATCAAATCACACTCTGACTTCTTTCTAAGCTCTTCCTTCAAATGCCAGTACTACCTTTCATTCTCAATATGGCTTTTCATATAGACCTTTCACACGCAAAATATATTTCCAAAAATCCTATCCACAAAATCATGAAAATGCCTGACTGATCATGCCAGACTGATAATGGGAAGTTTCTCCATTGTTCATATATCTATCTACTTCCATTCTTCCTCCACATAACAAAGCTATTACTTTCCTCACTTGGTGTTACACAAAATGGCTATTTGTCACTCTTTTGTATTACACACCTTGATCCTAACACTGTTTGCTCATTTTTGATAGGTACAATGGCAAGGGCTGTCTTTTCCTGCTTAGAAAATTATATTATATTTTAGCGATTGCTGGAAAAGGTAGTTAATTAATGGGGTTTTATTGGCTTAGACATTTAGGCGTCATCTTTTGCAGTTTACGTCCCGTAAAGCAGTTACAAAAATTGGAGAATATAGGCAGGAGATTACTTCTTCAAGAACATTTGTCAGCATGATATATGTTTGTATTAAAGAAATCCAGCAAAATTGTAGAATATTCTATCTGCTTTCAATATTGTAGGCATTGTGCTGGAAAAGAACATGAAGCAAAATTGGGATCAAATGAGAAAGCAGGTTCAATGCCTTCAGCTTCACAGTCCCAGGTAGGCACCTTTGAAATTTAAAATAAATTCTCATTTTATTTTCCATGTTGAGTGGTATTTCTGTTTGAAGCCTTTGAACAATATAGTGAAAATCTTGGTTTTAATAATTAATTAAAATCTGAACATCATTCAAGGAAATATTCTCTTTCTATGGATTCTAATTAAGTTTGTTTCCTCATTTTTAGCTTACGTACCTTTCATGCTATTTTTAAATCCCCCATTTCTGAGGAATTTCTGCTTTAGCTGTATCAGATTATTGCTTATTCACCTAATTGGAATTAATTTGGATTGACTACTTGTATGAAAACAAATGTAACTCCTTTCAATTTCCAGCTTTTTTACTTAAGAATCAATTAATTATGGATAATGTTTGTATTTAAAAACACATTGGAATATTGAGAATCTAAAACCAGACACAGTTGGGGGTGGGTTTGTTTGTTTGGTGTGGGGTTTTTTTTTGCATCCAGCCCTATGGTTTGGCTAGAGCCTTAGCGAGGGTATTATAAGAGTGGTGCTGGAGCAACTACGTGGCGGGGCAGGGGAGAAGGCCCACCTGATGTTTTCACCCCAGAAAGAGGAAAGTTCCCTTTGCAAAAAAGGAGGGTTTACAGGGTGGAAGGCAGAGGAGTGTTTAAAAGCACGTTCAGTCTTTGTCTCTGAAAAACAGGCCAGCAGCTGGGCTTTTAAAAAGCATTTTCACACTTTATGCTTGTGGTAAGCTGGCCTACATTTCTCACAGGCAGGAGAACATGTGAAAGCGTAAGTAGCTTGGCTGCCTGCAAGAGAGGAGCTGAGGGACTGTTTGGAATCCTGCCATGTGAGTTTGTTATCGCTCTAACTGTAGCCCAGAAGAGAAGTCTGATGCAGAAATTGTTGGACTGAGTCTGTTTTCCTTCCTGCAATTTCTGCTGTGGAACCTGTTCCCTGTTCCAGCTCATGTGTTCATCAAAGACCTTGATTGCTGCACTTTTTACCAGCCAGTTAGGTCTTCTTGTTTGTTCTTAAAAAGGCCTAGAAAGCTTAGTCAGAAAACAGATATAAGACAAGTGTATTTCTTTCAAATTTTAATTGCTGGAAGGAAAAAGCCATTATATTTGGGTCAGTGTGATATTTTGAATTTGCCACAAGTCAGTTTTGATGGACAGGTTTGAGAAACTTAGGAAAATAAATACTGTAAGCATTGTGTTGTTTTCTGTATTGTTAAACAGTGAAAATAATAACCTCATAGCCGCTTTTATATTTTACTAAAAATTATTTGTTTAGCGTGTTGTGCTCTAAAACGTAGAGAGACCTTACTGAGCACATCTCACCGTTATCTGTGCTAAGCATACAGTGTAAGCTCTGGCATGGCCTAGGAAGACCACCCAGATAAAATTATACTCATGTTGATGAGTGCAAAGGTGATGTCTTTTATCCTCAGGGACTTTGCAGAGTTCTCAGAGAAATCACCAAGAAGCTGCACATTTCACATCGAAAGCAAGGTGCCACTCAGCTAAATAACAGTTTCTTTTATTCCATTCACAGATGGTGTGAAGATTATAAAAATCTTATGGATCAGCTTCTTCTTTCAAGGCTTTATTCTGTAGAGAAGAAATAGTGTCTTTGGTTTGGTGTAAATCAGCTTATTTGAAGTAGTTGCATGTTACACAGCTCTGTTCATAATAGCAGTTTCTTGTAATGCACTTTTTGATTTTTCCTCTTCTCTCTATTCTCAGCATGTTTTGGTTTCTTTTCCTCCCTTCAGTAAAATTTATCTCTTAGTGCTGAAAAAATGAATTTGTCTGTTGTACTTAGATGCTGTCAGTACTTCATGTAGCAAACAAAATGGCATATGCTGGAATCTTTATCTTCTACGTCAAAAGAAAAGAGTGCAAGGATGTTCAGACGATTTTGCAGAGTTAAGCAGCTATTCAGTCTCTGAGATGACTCCTTGTTTATGGATTGTTTCAAGAGTACTAAGCTAGAAGTTCATTAGGGTATTACCACACTGCAGTTACTGCACTGAACCAACTTTTAGTAGGCCAGTTTTACATAAAAGTCCCCTTTGCCAGGAATATCAAAAGCGCATGCCACATTCATAATGAACACAAAGGTACAGTATTTTGGAACTGTTTAAGGTCTGCACACACTCAAGGATAGTAGATGTTGAGAAGAAAGTAGATGGCGGCACATGATCTCTACAAACAGCATGACATAGAAACTTCCATGACATATCTTAGGAAGTCAAGAGAAAGTAGATGGCGGCACACGATCTCTACAAACAGCATGACATACAAACTTCCATGACATATCTTAGGAAGTCAAAAGCAGACACTTACCCTAAAGACAGTGATGGTGTTTCCTTGGAAATCAAATGTACAGCTACTGAAAAGTTTGGGCTTCACTGGCAGTTGATAAAGCCTGTCTTCTGTGGGTTTTTGTTTGTTTGTTTGCTTGCTTTCATACTATGCCTATGGTTAGTACACCTCTTCTGAGCCAGCTTCTTTGGGCATCTATACCTGGGCACAAAGAGATTCTGCAAGCAGGACATACAAAATGTAAAAGTATAAAGTAACTATTAATTGTTTACTAAACACAAAAGACATTCTGGATTTAACAAGCTATTAGGCTAAATACTCACCACCCAGATAAGGCACTTAAAGAATCTTTCCTAGCCAGGCGACTGCCAGGCAGAAGGAAGAGGGTTAGACTAACTAGCCTCCCTGTTTGTTTTTTTTTTCCCTTTAATATTTTATACTTTTGCAAATTGTTGTCTGCCCTCTTGAACTCTTGAGCTACTAAGAACACCTATCTCAACAGGGGCTTTAATTTTAGACATTTTACCTTTCTGCAGACTTTTTCCACATCTCTGTCTCAGCACTCTGAGTCAAGCGTACACAGCTGTGCTGTATCAGAGCTGGTGCTTGGTGCGCAGGCAGGTAAGCCTTGGGGAGCCTTCAACCGGGGCAAGCGGGAGAGAGGGTTGCACAACCACAGAGAAGTCAACCTCCTTTGTGAAAATCATGTAATTACCACGTGTACTGTGATAGTCAGCAAAGCCTGTATGGTGACATGTCTTATCTACTTTCCCTTCATCTGACATCTGCTGTCAAGACAACAGCAACTGCACCAAGGCGAGTCATGCCTGGGTTGTCTGAGGCAAGACATTACATCCATGTGGTGCTTAGGAGAGTGATGCATGTGACAGAGGACCTTTCATGTCAGACTCTCAGAGGTTGTTCTTGTGGTCAGTGTTAACCTCCTGGGATTACAATTTAGCTACTTTGCTTTAAGTGTAATTTTGTTCAGGCTTCCTATTACTTTGCTGCAATAAATGTACTGTTATGTAAAACTTATTGTCTCCTTTTTTTCTACATTTATTTCCATACTTTGCAAGAGGCAATACTCTGATTAGCTGATTGTGTGGATCTAAGTTCATGAGTTACTGTGATACTGTTATGACAAAAAGGCTGTTTGTGAACCTAAGATGTATTAGCACTAATTTTGTGCATATAAAGGAAAAATGAGCACAGCTTATGGGCAAATTGTGCTATAGAAGGTCTTTAAAAGCATTTTTCTGTACTTAATATGATTTATGACCAAATAATTTTGTAAGTCTGTCAGGTGTCAGGCTCCACAAAATACTCCTTGATTTGAGAAATAACAGGGGCAAGGTTGTTATTTAATTTTGTTAAAATACAATTTCTCCTGCTTTGCTCGATCAACAATCTAGTCAAGCGTGCAGCTGGACTACAAAGACTTTATAATGAGGTAGTAATGATGTTGCATTAGTTCTTAAATATAACTTTAAAATTTTACAGTAGTGTGAAATTTAGGTTAACCGACTCTCCCAAAGACACCAGCTACAAAAGGACAGGAAAGACTCACAACACATTCTATACCGTGTGTCGTGATTTGACCCAGCTAGCAGCAGCAAATACCTCACTGCTGCTCGCTCACCCTCCCCCCTCCTGAGAATGGGGGAGAGAATTAAAGGGGTGAAGGGAAAAGAGACTCATGGGTTGAGATAAGAACAATTTAATAACTAAAATACAATAAAATTGAAAATAGTAACAATAATAATAGTAGTAATATATGCAGATGAGTGATAAACAGTGAAGCTGCTCACCATCCGATGACCAAGGCTCAGCCTGTTCTCGGCTAATGATCCCAGAGCAGGGAGGGTTCAGCTCTGTCCCAGCCAACACCAGGACACCGTGTTACTAAATTTGATAAAATTGGAGCCAACTAGCTTTCACTGTGCTTTGACTACAGGTGTGTTGGAATTTTCCTGGTGGCTGGACATGTGTTCTAGGGGTGGAATCAGCCAGATACTGGATTTTTTAGCATTTGATGGTTCACAGAACCTAGTTGAAATTTTAAGCTTAAGGTTTGACAAAGAAATATGACAAAAGTGCCTTGTAGTTCACAGGAGAAGTTCTATAAGAAAGCAGGTGTTGGGGTGTTAGTAGTTGTGCTGCATGATGCAGAAATGAACATTTAAATGCATACTGATTATTTTACATTATTACTTTATGCAAAAGGAAGACAGGAAGAGCTGGACAAAACTTCATGTGCTTTTGTGGCCAGGCCCTCATGATTTTTCTACTTGGGAAAATGAACTCCTGATGATTAACAAAGAGTGCCCTAAGAACTGTAAGTTAGTACAGCCTTTTTGTAGTAATTCTGCACAATTTAATGAGCTAACGTGTGTTGACTGTTATTATCATGCATTCCATACATGTCGGTTAAAGAATTTGGTATTAATGGAAGCAGATGTTGAATATACTGAACTTTGGGGTGACCTATTAAAAAAATAGGGAAAAAAAAAAAAACAGTTGCTTCTGTAATCTTTATTCAGTCTGGAATAAGAGGGGAAGAGATCTCCAGGGAGAAAAATAATTGACCTTGCAAAGGATCAGGCATTGTTTACATAGTGCTAAATTTTTTCTTAGTACTTTCTTGTACTAATAATAGGATATACATTCCCTTTTGGGAGGAAGATGTTACAAAAAGGCTAAAAAAATCCAATGAACATACATATATTCCTATTAATCATCTCTGGTAAGTAAAGCTTACTTTCTTTGATGACGGAGTTTAACTGTGTGCTTAGGCATTTGTTCAGCCTGGAGGAAAAAAGGCTCCGAGAAGACCTAATAGCAGCCTTCCAGTACCTGAAGGGGGGCTACAGGAGAGATGGGGAGGGACTCTTTGTCAGGGAGTGTAGTGAGAGGACAAGGGGTAATGGGTATAAGCTGAAAGAGGGTAGATTTATATCAGATATTAGGAAGAAATTCTTTACTGTGTGGGTGGTTAGACACTGGAACAGGTTGCCCAGAGAAGCTGTGGATGCCCCATCCCTGGAGGTGTTCAAGGCCAGGCTGGATGGGGTTTTGAACAACCTGGTCTAGTGGAAGGTGTCCCTGCCCATGGCAGGGGGGGTGGAACTTGATGATCTTTTAGGTCCTTTCCAACCCAAACCATTCTATGATTCTGTGAAGTCCACGTACTTGCTAAAATCAAGAAACAAAAGACATCCTTCATCTGTATTGCATGCAAAGTGAGTAGCTTTATGTAAGCCTCAATCCACTTCATGAAATTATGAGTAGAAAAAGCATCAGAGAAGAAGAGGAAAGCTCCAATGGCATTAACCTCAAACAACTGCAATAGATGGCTTGTCTTTGGGGACTTTACTATTAGATATTTGAAGTGATTTCAAATATTTACAAATACTGTATTTAATCCAAATAAAAGCAAAGAACATTCCTGTTTAGGTGCTGACGTAGTAGTTGGACTTCAGGCAAGCCAGCTGGTCTATAATTCCATTTTAAAACTGGGAAGGAAGGGGACCTGAAGGTTCACTATCCAAGTTTTTATAGATACCTATCAAAAATAAGGTTTAGGGCTTATTTTATTACATTTTGAGAGGAGAATGAGAGAAGAAAGCATTCTGTGTGCCCACAGTGATGGGAGGGGAGAGCTGTGGGGCAGGCTGGTAAAAGGAGAGCAAGCCCTGGGGCAGGAGTTACAAGATGAGCGTGCTGGACCAGGCCAAGTAGGAAGTATGAAGGGGCAGCTACCTCGGGCACCACTCTTGTACCTCTGACAGCAACACTAATGTGGGAGCAGCAGCTTCTTCCTCGTGACTATTTCTACCAGTGAAAGAGCTGCTGGTAATTTGTCCCACTCACCCAACTTGGTTTTGGCATCATGTGCATTTGAGAGCGCCAAAAAAGAGGGATCCAACTTCTGACATCAGTATTGCAGCAGTTCCACATCTTGGAAATACTAAGCCACTTTCACTTACAGACTTAGCTTTTATCAAGTGTACTGTTTTCCCGAGTGTGTATGTCGTTTGAGGAATCACCTCTAAAATAGGTGGATTTGTGAAGTCCTATAGTGCCAGAAGTAAACCTATGACATATTATGAAGAATCATTACAGCTTTCACAGCAGGATGTTTTGCCTTACAAATCTATTCATTTTTTTTTTAAAGAGTGGATGTGGCAACAAAGGGATCTACTCCGTACTGTGCATATGCTTTGTTATGGGCCTTGGGTTTTTTTGTTTGGTTGTTTTTTTTGGTTTTGTTTTGTTTGTTGGTTTTTTGGGTTTTTTTGTTGGTTTTTTTTTTTTTTTTCCCCGATAACTCTTAAGAAAATGAGGTTCTCAAGAAATAAATGAGACTCTTCTCAAAGCCAATTTACAATCTAGAAGGCTTGGGAGGGCTTCTGGGGACATGCTAGGGGGCATCTGGTCAACATATTAACAGATAATCTGACAAAGGAAAACATGACCAAGTTTCTTGATGACAAAATGATAGAGCTAGGAAAAAAATCTCAATACTGAGAGTCTGAGTAATAAGCTTCATTGTCATGGGTAAAAATACTAACTGCATCACACAGTTGGTTTTGAATTACTCCTGACATTCTCTGTACAGAGATCTGGGAGTCATTTTGCATAGTTTTGCATAGTTGCAAGACATCAGATCAGTGGTCTATGACAGCCGAAGGGCAAGTAGAACATTAACAATTCCTAAGAAAAAATTGGGGAAAAAATGGACTTATACTACAGAGCATTTTTATGGCATGCCCTTGTCTTGAGTATTGTGGTGCTTCCAGTGCACCTCAAAAAGTGTACAACAGAGCTGAGACACAGAAAGAGACAAAAAAATTAAAATAATTTTTTGGGAGGTACAAAACAGTTTCTTCACAAGAGGTTAAGTAACTCACTTTCTGGCTTGAAAACAACTCAAGATGAGAGATATGATGTCTGTAACAGTGTTAAAGATAAAGAGAGAACAAGCAATTGCTGGTTTTTATAAAATGACAACTAGGCAGGACCCAGAGAAATCAGATTTAAAGCAAACAGAAAATAAGCACTTCTTTATACAGCACAATTCCATCATGCATATTTTTGCCACAGGATATGGTGGAAACAAACAAAATGGCTTCAAAAGGCACAAACTATCTAGGGGCTCGCATGGCTGTGAAACATCTGGATTTGCATGATCCAAATGTCATCTTTGTCAGGAAGCTTCCCAGAGATCAGAGAAGGACAGGAGGTTATAGTGGTGAAGGAACTCCTTCTAGAAGGACCACTAGCCAACGTGGGAGGCAGGGTGGCCATGATGGTGATTCTTACAGCTGTTGCAAAACCAAGTTAAGAGCCTTTCCAAATGAACTACAACCCAGGTAGTTAAAACTTAGAAGTGGAGACTGAAACATCTTCATATGCCAAGAGCACAAGTTTCAAGATTCCTGAGAAAACACACCTTTAAATCATTGTAATTACAATATAGTATTTTTCTCTGCTGATGAAGGGTAAAAAATACTAGGGTGGGAATGGTTTTTATCCGTTGTCTTTGGCATACAGATTGTTTGATAGCAATGGCACTTCCAAAGCAGAAGCTAGAACCTTGCATTAAAGGAACGGCTTACCTGAACTTTTAAGTGTTACTTCTTACATATGCGTGTTTTGAGCATTCAGCAGCAATGCTGTGTTGCTTAGGCACATTGGCAAGCTTGGGTACTTTAGAGCAAGAAACAGGTTTAATCCATCCTCCCAGAGACATATTCTAAACCCACCCTTCAGTCACTCCAGCTGCAGTCTGAGGTCTGCAATGACTGAACTGGGCATGCCCAAGCTTACTTCCTGCCATATCGTCACATGTATAATACTTAAAAATACACATCTGAAACCTTACCCAGCAGCAACTGCTTCTGATTTAATCACTTCCATTCTCCTGATTAGCCCACTGGATGGATCCAGCAGCTTGTAACCACCCTGGGAGCTGCCCTGGCTGTGGGCAGACAGCCAGCCTGCTGCTCTCCAGGCAGGGTTTCACACCACGCCACTGAGCTCTTGGCAGCTCTGGCGGGACCATCGCTCAGCCAGCTGGTTGGCCAGCCC